TCATTACAGCAGGATGGATTCTGATTGGCTGTCAATGTTTTTATTGTTCATTAACTGAAAGAAAGAAGAAAAAAACACTCTGAAAGTGATTCCAACGATATAGTTTCTCTGTGATGTTATAGTTAAAATTATTCCCATTGTCCTTAGTGTGAACAAGCCTTATTTCTAAGTACGATTCTAAAAGGTGGGTTTTGTTTGTGTTTAGCTTTGTTTTGTTTTTTTGTTTTTGTTGCGCTTTTTTGTTTCTGCTTATGGTTTGCATTTGTTTTATTTTTGTTGCATGTTTTTTATTGTTTTTTTTCTTTTTTTCTGTGCATCGTTTATGCTTTTGGTTGTTTTGTTTTTGCATTATATTTTTTTTGTAGCTTGTATTTTGTTCTTGTTGCACTTTGTTTTTTTTCCTGTTTGAGGGTTTTGTTTTTGTTGCATCATGTATTGTTTTGTATTTTTTGCGCTTGTTTCTGCTTCAGAGTGTTTTGTTTTATTTTTGTTGCATATATTGTTTTTTTTTGTGGTTTTGTTTGTTTTGTTTATTCAACTTAAGAATTGAAACCACCCAGCAACATCCTAGTGACTATCCAGAAAACCCAGGTCAGTTGTCTCAATACCCCATTACAGTCAAAACTAAAGTATAAACTTTCAGTCTTTTGAATGGATTGATCATCACTCGTCTGGGCTTCAGCCACAGTTCCGAAGTGATTAATGCCTAAGACATTACCTTATAGACGATGAATGTGATGTTGGCTCAAGTCTTCTCAAACTGATTTCTGGGGTAGAAAATTCAGAGAATGTTTTACCCTGGTCATGAATGGGTTTGTGCAAATGTTAGTCTTGATTTTCTGCTTTAAATGGGCTATAGTTAAGATAAAAATCAGATCTTCATAGATGAGGCCTTTTTTAATGTTCCTGAGTGTGTATTTTCATAAATGGCTTAACGGTCTCAAATTATGGCATTGTTGCTATAGTATATGGCACACATACACTCTTAAATGCTGTGTTGTGGCTTGCTAGAGGATAAAAGAGTTTTAATACTGCATAATTGCAGTACGACTAAAGCAATCAGAGGACAAAAATGTGTTTTTGTGGAAAGAGAAAATGTATGCATGCACGCAAACAGGCATAAATTGGTCATAGATGACGACTTGTCGCAACATAAAAACACCCAGCTATGTTGTCCAATACAGCTGTTTTCTCCATCTCCTATTTTTCATCAGCAAGGCTTATAAGATGAAATGCATTAGTTGCCTCAGTTGATACTCTGTTAAATATCAGTTTATAAATAACAAAGAACAGATCTGTCAGCTGATGTAAACAGAGTTTGACACAACTAGTAAACCAACGTAAAGGTCAGAATAGTCCTGTTGTGTGTGTGTGTGTGTGTGTGTGTGTGTGTGTGTGTGTGTGTGTGTGTGTGAGACATGGTCGGAAAGGAACATCTCATGATTGGAAAGAATACTTTATGAAGGATTCCTAAAATGCCTTGCATTTCTGAAAGTTAACCAAAAACCACAACAAACAACCCAGACGTGGACAAATCAACATGGGTATCAATTAAATCAAGCATGACCTCTTTTATTTGCAAAGGGTGTTGCCTTGTGTTACCTGGCTCAAGTTCACACATGTGGCTTAAAGCATATTTTGGACAGGGTGGATACAGGTTAGAACTGATAAACAGCTCTCAGTTATCCTTGCAAAGTTATCCTAAAAAATGGACTGAGCCAAGTTAACACCCTATTGTTTGCGATTGTGGCCTAATTGAAGTAAATGCGTTATTACCCAAACTGTCTTCATGACATTGGCAAATGTGCAAATGTCTGGCTGAATCCGCCCAAACAGTAATGTAATAAAAATGTAAATGGATGAATCTCTTGCCGAGAACATGTCTTTGTCATAAGCTCAAATAAATGTTGGTCATTGTGACATTATTTCCATTATTAAGCAATTTTTTACCCCTAAATTATCATTACTGTAATGTAAAAAAAGAAATAAAAATAATGTGAAAAGTGAACACACACAGACACACACACACACACATATATATATAATATATATATATATACTTTACTGTATTACTGTATTTATTATCATACATCATCCCTTACTTATTGTTGTTTAATGCAGATGTTTATTACTATTCATCTGGACCACATGGCTTTATGTTTTATTATTGAGTTTCAATTGCCAGGCTATTGCATTGGATGAACAGATTATTAGGCAGAGTTAAGAAGATTTTCACAGACAGCAACTTTCCTCTCGGCACAAGCGCTTGACATTTTGCCTTATGCCAATATACCCTCAGAATCAAGTTTCATAAGAGCTCTCGCCGGACTGACCGCCACACAATCAAATACTCTGACCCACGCTTTATCAAGCTGGTTAATTTTCTCACACGATGTTAGTTTGCTTTTAAATCACATAACTAACCGTTTGCCAGTTACTGTTTTTGGCAAAAACAAACTTTACAGAATGCCCTATAGGAATTCAATGGAGATTTTCACAGATTTTTAAGTAAAATGTGTTTATAAATTATGACATTTAAAAGCATTTTTATCTTTGGGATTTCTTAATTGTTCAATTAGCATCCAAAAGCTGCATTCTGCTGTTTATTTCTTCCTTCATTAAGGAAAAAAAATCCATCTTCCATTCCAATTCCATATTGAATTTTTATTTTTATTTTACTGCAAACCCCCCATTCCCCTAGTCATGGAAGCTGAGAGACACCCAAAACTCCCAGCTCTCTCCATAAAGATGCTTTCAGACGTGACTTTACTGGAGCACCTCAAACACCCCAGAACATCTGGAGTCTTCCTAGTGCGATCCAGCTGAGATATTCAGACCCTGTTCTGTGTTAATATTGAGATTGTTTTAAGCTATACATCTGTCTTCTTCCGAAACTCTCAGAGTGATGAAAATGATCCAAAAGGTCTAAGGGACTAAAGGGATGTCTAAATCATGTAGATGACAAACCAGGACCTCATAAATTGATTCTGTTGATAGATTCCCAGACTATACATTACATTGTTCTTTTACCATGAAATACTCTCCAAAACTCACATCTGATTTTTCAGATATAACACGTAGCGAAATAGCACCAATAGCACCTAGCGAAGTGTTTTCTCAAAACTAAATTATTTGCAGAGGTCTCTGTACTGGATGACTTCTCCAGAGTCCATCTCAAACTCAGATAAATTGCTAAAATCCACACCTGCAAAAGACTAGTCTAAGATCATGATTGCTTGATAATTGCAAAACTAATCTGGCTTGAAAACACATATTTGGACTCTTTAATTTGCAGCACAATGACTTTCAGCTGTTTAGGACGTCCCTATTAGGATCAAACAGAGCGTGTTACGTGGCATTCTTCAGAAAGACAAAACCGTTCCAGAATGTTTTGAGTCTGAGCGGAGTTTTTCCATGGCACAATCCACTCTGACACTACTTGTGTCGCCATTACCAAAGCTTCCCGCTGTTTCTTTTCAGCACATAAGACATAGACGGATGACTACACTAGGGAATGTGCTAGATAGACAATGAGAAAGAATGGAATGACAAATTAGGCCAAAAACATGAATTGAAAGGAACGAGAATGCTGGAAAGCATGTAAAAACAGTTTGAAATAACAAGAACAAGAAACAAATATCCATCAAATCCAGACAAAATACTGTGGGACAAATAAAGAACTACACTCTCATATTTGAGTCAGAGACATGATGCTCAATATAAAACATTAAAATGCAATTCACACCAAAAAAATCTAATACATAGTTCTTTTTTAAATTGTCAGGTCAAATAGGGTAAATTTTGAACCTTTTAACTTTTTGGGTGTGGGGGGGGTAAGTTGTAAACACTTGTGTCTATTTATGAGGTATTTAACTACTTTCCACAGAATGGTTACACCACTTGACTTTTACTAAAGCTTTTTTTGTGGAAAATGGTGTAAATGTTTTGCAACAAAAATGGTTGGTTACGCCAACAAAAGTGTCTGATCCACTCAGATCAGCAAATCACCTTTTTTTACGACCTTTTCGTGTAGTTTTCCTGGCAAGCCGAGCAACTGGTATCCTACACCATGACCGTCTAGATGCCCTATGCACTGACACACCACCCATTTCCTCATTCAACTATATTAAATGTTTGCTACAGCAGATAAGAAAGGAAAGATCACCCTTGGCATCTGATAGGAGACCAGCTCAATCATTTCCATTAGCACGATCAAAGTCATGGAAACATAACTCTTGATTTTGCACTCAGAGATAATGTTGCTAGCACATATTATAAGCTTTATGTAATACTGCGAATATACAACAACATAAAAACTATATTAGATTATTCTGTGATGCATCAACTCAACAAACGGGTTATCACAGCACATGAAACCATCTGCAGTATAGGGACCACATCACGTTTGGATTGTGCACGTCTTGTGTGGCGCACAAGCAAAAAATTATATATTAAAAAAAAATTAATAATATGTACCCAAAAAGTATTCACTTCTTTCCTGATCACACTAAAGGGTTTGACAGTCGCAAATTATATGTTACTTTACCACATAGGAACTTATCCAAAAATACAGTCTTTCAGAAAATGCTCACATTGTTCAACAAGGTTGAATGTGGAGCTTTTCTGCCAATCAGTGAACAAAATATCAGTTGCCAATCGATCAACAAACAGCTTTTTTCATTTCAGCTAGTCCTTTGTAAAAAGTATCTTAGCGATGTTGAACACATAATGTTGTTAAAGCAGAACATTCAAAGCTCATGACAGCGGCACTAGGATATAATGAGGAACAAATGGAGCCCTCAATCTTGTTTAAAGCACTCTGGTGAGAATGCTTTTATCAAGGGAAGGGACCTCACTTAAAAAGGACATGATGTCATTACATAAGAATGTAATATGCCACCCTGCTATGCCTTTATAACATCAGGAAGCATTCTTGTAATTAACGTTACCCCATCTAAAAGGAAATGTCTTGATTAGAGAATGACATTGACCATTCTAACCTTGAAATGACAGGAGGACTCGTGGCTGTGGTGGAGAAAGACCATGGATGCAGGTGATACAGAGGACGAGGGGAAGGAACAACTGCACGCTCATCCCCAAAGACCAAACCCGGAGCGCTCCTGACCTCCCCATTACTGCTGAGGAGACACCCGGACCAGCCCAACTGCAAAGACAAGGTGAAGGAACTGTAAATTTATTTACAATTTAAGTACTTTTAAGTACCTAACTTAAGTACTTTTTTACAATTAAGTAAAATTTAATATTTAAGTACAATAGGAGAAAGAATTAAATGCACTTTGAAAATAGAGGTGGATTACTTAGAAGAACCGACAATTAGAATCATATTCTTAATAAAGAAAGATTCTTAATATATTTTATATATTTTTCTTTTCTATAGTAAGATTTAATATCTAAACATTCCTAAAGCAAGATACATTTTGATAAGCAACACTAAGGAAAATGAATCTAGATAAAAGGTAAAATGCACAAACTTAACACAAATTATCAAGTTGGTACTTCCTACTGTATATGTGCAAATCACAAGAATTACATTAGTAAGTTATCATAATTCACCTTGAAAAGAAGTCCTATCTGTAGAAGGACAACTTGTATAATTTAAATGATGCACAATTTTGTGTGAAACAATCAAGCTTTGCATTTCTGCAAGTTTTGCTCTATAGACTTTCATTGTAAATGTATCACTGTCCATGCAGTTTACAAAATATAGGACGATTCTTAATCATCTGTGGTAATTGACACCTTTCTACATTGATAATGCTCGACTTGTATTCGAACCCACAACATTCCTTTAAAAGTTCAACATTTATGACGTTATCCACGTTTCTGGAGAGGAAATGTGTTTGATATAGTGTTAAATCAACAGTGTTTCAAAAGCAGCCAGTTAAAATACATATTTTAACGGTTATATCATAACAGTTATGCTTGAAAGCTTTTCCCTTAAAGGCATTGTGTACGTCTTCGAGTTAATTAGTCTGAGAAAGTGCCATGACATTGATCCACTTAGTTATGATTTAGCTAATGCCATATAAACAATGGCTCCTGTCCAACCTGAGTCATCATTTTACCTTTACACAAGGACATCTTGTACAATGTAATAAGACTTTTTTTTCACTTCTAGTTCTAACAAAAGAATGAATGGACTGTGGTTCTCTCCTCTCTATTCTATTATGGGACAACCAAAGTTCAATAATACATGGAGAGAAGTTTTGATTTCCTGTGGAACAACTCTTGCTTCATGCTCCAGAGAGAACAGACAGCTTTCTCTGTCCAGGACACTCTTGGAAAATAAGAATGCATGCAGTTCATAATTATATATTAATAGTATGTTTGTTTTGTAGCCGAGAGAGTGCAGAAGGACAAAGAACAGAGTAAGAATAGCAAGTCTCTCTGCTCATGTCTTATACATGAATCATGTGAAAGATTGATAGGACATCTACAGTGCATGTCTGACTCAGTGAGGTATGAGCACACTGCACAGGGTGTGTTCACAGTCAACAGAAGTGCATGAATACCAGAAAACACCATGCAGGGTGATGGTTAAATTGTTTTTTCATGGAGTCATCCGCTTTATGGATGATCTTTGTTGGACTGTATCTCATTTGTTTATCAGCATCTCACGTTTTTTGGAGGCCGTGTCTGGTTAGAGTTCAATAATTTTTAGCGAATCGTGAATTTCCCATTTTTAGGGATTTTTTTTTTATATGAATAATGCTATTTAAATATATTGAATTTCTCTTATTTAATAGGAGCCTTCTTTTTCAGATAAAAAGTAGTGTAATTAACAGTGATACACTCTTCCTGGCCTTAAATATACTTGAGGGTAAGCCAAAGTATGCCAGCAGGCAAGCATTATGCAAATGTGTTACATGGGGATGTAGCCATGTCTCATATATACTGTAATGGCATATAATAATGACAATACTACGAGCAGTGTTGGAAAAGTTCACTTTCTACATGACCTAGTTCAAAGTTCAGTTCACACATTTTAAAATGAACTAGTTCATTCATAGTCGTTTTTTTTTTTTTCCATATAAGCTTTTTTTATTTTTATTATTGCCACAGGCCATATACAACCACAGACAACAATTATTTTATTGACGGCCAAAGTTTGCACAGAAATGTAAGATTTTTCCCATCCTCACCGACCTCGTCATAAAATCCGTTTAAATGATCATATGCCACGTAACTGCTTTGTCGACAGCGGCCGCGGTGCGACACTGGTGTCTTGTGTTGCCAGATTGGGTGTTTTTTCGCTACATATTAAGGCCTGCTTATGTGTGTTTTAGCCGGGTTTTCGCCTGGAAGGCTCTATAGAAATCTGGCACCATATTGTACAAAGTTAAACTAAGAGAGCGTGCGTTCACAGTCATCAGGCAGTAATACAGTACGTTCAGTTCACGTTCGCCCAAAATATGAACGCGTTCATGAACAACTCTGTCTACGAGGCATTAAAGGCAGGCGTTTTCTGTTGGAGAGATTCACTCTATTTAGCATGGACTTTGTGCTTTGTAACTTTGAAGATTGTTTACATACACAAATAGCTAAATTACACATTAAAGGAAAGGTCAAATCAAAGAAAGCATAATAGGTCCTCCTTCTACATGTGTGACTATAGTTATTTGCTGGGAACTCTATTGCCCCCTTACTGTTGTTTGCTGTGGCAGACTACTGAAAGAATATTACCTACACCAGAAAAGGGCCTTTAAAACGGCCAAGCCCAAAATAGGAAAAACACTAAGCTTTTAACTGTCTTAGCCCCAAACTATTGGTCAGAAACTTTTAGATTAGTAATTTCTGTCTCAAAGTGTTTGTGATGAATCACAGTGAAACACGAGTTGTGTGGTGATGCTCTAGAGTGATGTCTTCGAAAATCTGATAAAAATAAAAATAAATGCATCTCTAACACAGTTAGAAGCATGGAGGAAGAGGTGTCATTGTGCAGGGAGTCTATTTATCTGCTGGTATGTGTGAGCTACTTCACTGTGAAAAGTCAATTAATGCATTGGAGTACAGGAGAGTATTGCAGAATGGCTTGCTTCCCACATTTGAAAAGTTGTTATGTAAAGAGGAACGATCAGATGTTATGTTTCACCAAGACAATGCTCCTCCCCAAATTGCAAAGACAACCAAGTAGTGAGAACAAGTCCATCAGGCTCATGGTTTGGCCTAGGTCAGAATCCAGATTTGAACCCTACTGTATAGTGAATAGTTGGACTCACATTAAACTCAAACGAACTGGGAGACATTTTTCAACTACTCATAAACTGTTTGAACTGAGTGCAACGACACCGACTCTTTTTCGTGTAAAAAGATGCCTGCAAGTTGGGGAAGGCTATTTCGTGTTAAGTTACGTTATATATATAGTATTTGTGCAATTCTTGCTAATTTCCTGACCAGTGATTTGTGATTAAAAGGCTTAAGACCATTATAAGACTACTAAATATTTTGCCATTTTTGGCTTGGCCCCTTTGGTCTTTTACAACAGGACTTTGAATGCTTGTGCAGATCATGTTTGTAAGTGAGAGCATTTGCCTGAGTGTTTGGGGATGTTGTTTTGTATGAGTGCATATTTACAAGTGTGTGTATACATGTGTGTATGTTTGCTTGAGCATATGATAAACTGCAGACGGCCGAAATGTCTTTGGCAGTGAGCATTGGAGAGAAGCTCTTAAACTGGGTGGAGGCTACTGCTCTCTGAACAGTAATGGCTTTCTACTGCTGGTCAGGGCCTGCAAGACATGCATACAGCTGCTAAAGTCATCACCGATCCGTCACTGGCCTGCCACTGAACATGAGCTGATGTTCAAGCTTCTATGATCACAACCCTTAAATGAGACATAATCCCTCATTATGTATGTGCCTAATGAACAGGTCCCGTCAAGGCCTTGATATGAACTGAGCAAAGATTTAAATGGCTTTTCAGGAAATTTCATCAATGCTGAATGCTACTTTACTGTCTCGCTATGTATCACTCCGCAGTCTCTCTCTCTTTTCACAACAAGTTAGAATGGCTACTTGCCACCATCTGATGACTTAACCATTACCTAAAATGGCACTGGAGGGATAAAGGACTAACTTTAATGGTGAACATAAAACATTTGATAGATGTCTAGAATTTGAGTCTCCGATTAAAGCAAGAGGATGAAAACATCACTTGGAAAAACCAGTCGGTATCACAAAGTAAGACATCAAATTGTTTCTAAATATTGAATTGAGAACTAGATAATTGAGAATTAATTCCATATTAATAATAACACAATATAAAAATAGAATCTACAAATAACATTTTAACTTAATAAGAAAGTTAATCACTTCATTTCTTGTTGGTTTTCGCCCGTTACATTGCAGCTGGTTGGGTCAAAAATGAAATTTTGGCTTCACTGTATCATAGGACAGTTTGTGAGTATCAAACTTTAAGGTAGTGATTCTCTCATTTCTGGAGAAAAAGTTTTTGACATGTGGCAGACTAATTGTTTCAAACCGTTTCAGTGACACTTCCAGATTCTTAATGAGTTCTGTCATGAGCTGATTTCTGACTGGCTTTTAACCACAACACTAAAGCTGGATCCCAGTGTCATCTGAGAAACTCTAACGTCTGTCAAAGCTGTCATAATGCGCATTCACGCCGCTTCAGCTGAGAGCACAGCAGCCTGGAAACGTATTACGAGCGGTTTATCTTCAAGCTTATCGTCTTCTGTTTGTCATGGCTATCTGCGTAATGAGTTTTTCATCTTTCTCCTTATGAAAGTGTCAGTCAGAACCAATTATTGCTCACTAGAAGTATGACAGCTGTCTTCACCTAAGAACGGCTCGTCTAATATAGGTTAAACAGCTGGAAGGAAATTAAGTGTCTTTTGTGATGTTTTAAAACAATGAAATGGAAACGCCATTATACAGGATGAATGTTATGTTACTAGATGTACTGTGGAGTGGGTAAAACTGTTTTTAATGGCAGGTTAGCAGTTACCGTTGACTCGCGCTAGCCTAGCACTGGCAAACTATGCAACTGGAACGACTGGATGAACATTTTTAAAAACTGTCTCCACTGACAGGCTAACTTGGAAATGAGGTCCGATGTCCAAAATCCTGAACCACCCCTTTAAGGTGTGTTCACATTTATTTGTTCACATTTTCACAGAAATCCAGTCACTTCAAAAGAATCTACGCAATCTGAAAATTCATGTGAGGGTGAATCATTTCCCATCGCAGATGTCGCAATGGGTTTAAGTTGGTCGCACAGATTCGCTATGTTGACCAACAGAAAGCTGATTGGTTTGAAAATAACTTCTATGTGAGCTTCTATCACTACACTATTGACAATAGACAAACCTTTTTTGCCCAAAATGTGATTTTGTGTTTTGCTGCTACATATCACAAAAAGTACTGAACAATAATGTGCCAAAGTTTAATACCTTAAGGTTTGAGGTTCAAATCTTTCATGAAATAGAAAACATCAATCCAAATATTATGTTTTACGCAAGTGTTTGGCTAAATGTTCTGGAAGCCATTGTGTAAAATGTGTGTTTTTTTTCTGAGAGATGCCCATCACCGTACCACACCCTGCCATTCACCAGCTCGCACACGCAATTCCAACCATGCACACACTACCACAATGTGACAACAATACAAATCCCCATTCAATATTGCATTTTGGTTTGGACCAAATCTCAGATACTATCTTTAGGGCACACTTATAAAATAATAACATCACTGTCTTAGTCTCAAACTCCCTAGACTCATTCACACTCGCTGCTGTCCTCTCTGCGAGACACACAGCACACATTCCCTGATGTCTCTACCTAATTAAAAAAAAGCTTAACACACAAAATAATACATATTAACTGAGTAATAAAAATGTTCTTCATGGTACTTAATAGTCAAGAAAATAACTGAACATGACATTAGATTTAGTTCAAAAATATATGTATCAAAAATGGTTGAAATGCAAAAATTTCACCTTTTGAAACCGGGAAAACACTTAAATAAAGCAATTTTTTTTTTTTTTTACAATCAAGCAATTTTTTTTTCTAAAGCCAATGGGAGAAAAACATTCTTGCAAAGTGAAGTTCAGTTAATATCATTAACATATTAATGAATCTTGTCTACAGACAACTAGACAGAAATTATGCTATTTCAACTTTTTGGCACACCATCAGGTAAAATAATTGCTCATAATGTTTCTTGAATAAAAAAAAAAGTAGGAATCATATTAACAAAGATTGGATATAATAATTAGGAGGCATATATTTCTAAAATAAGCATTTTTTTTTAATATAGATGCTTGTCTTAGTGACTGAAGCATGTATAAGGTCTTGATATCCTGTCTCTGGTGGGTGTCTGCACCTGTTAGCCCGAGCCTGGCGTGTCCCTCCCCCAAACGGTACTCACCTTCTGAGGCTTCCCAGCCGGACTGTCCTCACTGAGCAGAGAGTGGGTGAACGCTATAGTCACAGACGTAGTGAAGAAACACAGCGTTGCGTGGACTTCCCAAGCGAGAGTGAAGAGAGGTGTTATTCCAACTGGCTGACTGTGGGACAGGGAAGAGAGAGGTTGAGAAGATTGAGAGAGGTAAAGAGAGTGAGAGAGAAGGGTGGACTGGTTTCCTATTACACTCCTCTCCTCTCGAGCCCCCCCCCTCCTCTTTTCTTTTCCCTCCTCTCTCTCTCTTTCGCTCTCTCTCTCTCGCTCTCTCTCTCTCTCTCTCTCTGAGTAACTGAACAGATATTCCAGACCTGTGACTCTGAGTCTCACTTTGCCTGTGCAGTGAGCAGCAGTTAGGCAGACCGTGCCAAGACTCCAGAGTAAGATTCTGCTTATTGAATTCGATTTAGATCTATCACTAAATCTATAATTTTAGCGTGGCTGGATGCAGAAGTTACTTAATTTTTGGGCTGTGCAAAAATTAATTGCGATTAATCACATCCAAAATAAAAGTCTGTGTTTACATAATATATTTGTATGTGCTGTATATAATTATTTTGTATATATAAATACCTATGCATGCATGTATATATTTAAGAATTATTTGCACTTAAATTCTGTATATATATATATATATATATATATATATATATATATATATATATATATATACATAATATATATTATATACTAAATATAAATATTTAATATATGAATAACACATTTTCTTAAATATATACATGCATGTGTGTGTATTTATATATACAAAATAATTAGATACAGCACATACTAAATATATTATGTAAACACAGACTTTTATTTTGGATGCGATTAATCGCAATTAATTTTTGCACAGCCCTACTTAATTTTACATTAACATAAAATGACAACTAGGGTTTGAAATATTTTCCTTAATTCACAGACTATGTTTTAGAAGTTTTGCTCACCAAGGCTACATTTATTTGATTGAAATTACAGTAAAAACAGTAATATTGTGATATATTAAAATAAAGTCACTAAAGTACCAAAACTACCAAATACTTTCATGACCTTAACACTAGAAGTACTAGTGCCAGAATTCCATAACTACTGGAACGGCCGCTATATCTTTAATTATAAAAATCCATTTGAGAGATTCATGCGTTTTTTAATGCATTAATGATATTGTGATATCTTTTAAAAACAAAACAACACCAAACTGTACATTTAAACAAGTTTAATTATACATTTATAAATAATAATATCATTAGTAGCATACCGTAATTATTGCATTTTCATATCCATATCCATTCAACATAACTCAGACCAAGATAATAACAACTAAAAGTATTCTATTAACAGTGAGAGAGACACTGTTACGGTTTATGAATATGCTGTGTGTGTGTGAGTGTGTGCTGTCCTTTTTAGTGTCACTGTAGTCGCACTGTCTTTGTCAGATCGTTGTGGACATTTCCTGCATGTTTGTTCCCTGCCTGTATCCGGTTTTACGTGTGTCATCCTGTGTTCAGCACTCCTGGTTCTTCACACAGCGTTCCTGTGCTACCAAGGGCTTAAAACTGGACATTTGCGCACCTTAACTCTCCCAGCATCTGACCAGCTCTCAATAAACATGTTCAGCACTCCTGGTTCTTCACACAGCGTTCCTGTACTGCCAAGGGCTTAAAACTGGACATTTACGCACCTTAACTCTCACCTTACGCACCTTAAATCTGTAAATGAATCTTCTTAATTATTTCCTAACAGACAAAAGTCAACCTGGAGATGTAATAAAATAATACCGTGAAAATCAGTTCGGTCATGACCGTCTATGGGTGAAATAGGTAAATATGTTGATTTGTTGTTTTGCTTTAGGTGTAATTTATATTAAAAATATTTTAAATGAAAATAGGTTTCCTGCATGCTCCCCTGCGTAGGAAAGCATTTTCCCTAAAAAAATAAAATAATCTATAGATAATTTAAAGTCAGTTGGTTATTGTCATGAAATGAACCCCAACAGGGTTTTTCAGGAAGCCTATTATTTTGCTGTCCTAACTGGACACACAATTATATGGTTAGTAGCTTTTTATTATTTGCATTTTGAATTTCGCATCCCTGCTGTCTATGGTAGAACTATCAGAACAGACCTGTGGAGTGGATAACCACCGGATTATACTATCATCCTGACGTTAATAAAAAGCCCAATAAATCAGGCGAGAAATGTCTCCTTACACACTTCCACAGCCCAGATTAAATGTTATTTCTATCCAAGATTCCAGTTGCAAAGGGAGTGCAGGGAGCTGGACGCTCTGGAGCCAATTTCCAAACCACATTGTGCAGACTTCAGCAAGGAAAGTCAGAATTGCCCTCACCACCGCAATTCCACTGCCAAGTTATTAATTACAGATGGTGAAAGCTGGATCTGTATCATGTGAATGATAGCCAAATGTTCAATGGAGTTGCGAAGAGCCCATATACAGTACTCCAAAAAAATTGACACTTAAGCCACTTAAAAATGTTTCTTATTGTTTTGCTTACTTGCTTTAAAATAAATGCCTCTTGGTTTAAAATGTTGTGTCTTATGCAATAACTTTCATGATTTTTATGCATGAAATTATTCTTAATACCTTTAATAGATAATAATTTAATACGTTAAATTTGAATGCAGCAGGAAATAATTAGCTCTTCTCTGACTCTTGAAGTGATTTACAGCTTTCCGGTGAAATGGTCAGAGAGAAAGTTCATTTGGCTGTAAATACACACACGCACACACACACACACACACACACATCACATTACAAACAACAGCACAAATCAAAAATAGTACATTACAAAAGTATCTCAGACAATATCTATGGCATAAATCTGCAAAAACACACAAATGTGACTTGAGATGCTTGATCATGAAGACTGGTAGGTTGTGATCGTAAAACTCAGTGTCTGCTTTTGGAAAAATTACTCACAGATATCTGTGATGACAGAAACATTTGCCTAAAATGGGTGGTCATTGACTGCCAAGATACCTCTTTGGCTGAAGGAATGTTTCTGGCATATTAAGGAGATTATTTTAATGAAAGGAAAATAATACATTAAATGGAGATAAAATCTGAGTCACACAGCAGAGAAGTGCTGCATTTGCTTTTGTGTCACTTGTGCCACTTGTGTCTGTGTGCTTCCTTGGGTCCTTACAGATGTTTAGCATCTGTCACACTAATGTTAAGTGGCTCATACATAATCTGGGGTCAGGGGTGGCTTAAACTCTGCATTAGTAATGGTCATCACAAACAGACACACATGCTAATGTAAGGACATTCTGCACAGACCACCCCCTCCAATGCAAAACTTTTTTTGTAAGGGCAGAACAAGTTGATTACTGTAAAGTAGGACGTTTTTTATTGAGTTTGGGAATGAAAGACTTAAACGTGTAGCCTGGTGTGATCAGGGATGCCCCGACAGGTTTGCTCGTGTATTTAAAATGGTTTAAGCCAGTTTTAGTAATATCCTGAAAATAATTTAGACATTTCTCTCAGTTTTTAAAAACAAGCAAAAACTTGTTTACAGTAATGCACTATAAACATAAAAAGAAACTTTTGAAAATACAGCCACAAGAGTTCAACATTACGTCTTAACATGATAATAGTGTCATGCAATTGCTTACTAACATCTGTGTGAAGTTCTATCCAATTTTCTCCTGGCATGACTGTAAAATCTGAAAAGTCGAAACATGAATTTCTTAAACTTGAGCTCTTAAATCCCAGGGGGTTTGTGAGTTGATGAAAAGCTAAAAGCTAAAAATTTAAATATTAAAATGTAACATTGAAATAAATACAATTTTTTTTTAAATCAAATCCAAATGAAATACTCACTATAAAAATATGAAATATCTTATTGGTTTACTTGCATGTCATATGACCATTAACTGACATTAGAAAACCGGAATGATGTGAATGTGTTGTTAAATTAATTATTTAAATATTAACGTAAAATATCACAAACTGTAAAATCGTAAAAAATAATATACGTTAAACATTAAAAAGGATGCATGTCATGTGACCCTTAAACGACATCAGTAAACCGTGATGTGAATGTTGTTAAATTATTAAAATATTCACTTAAAATCTCAAAAATTGCCAAATAAAAATAATCATAATTAAACTTATTTTAAAAAGTTTTTTTTACCTGAATGTCAACGTGATATCCAACCACCAGACAACTGTGCCTTGAACATTAATGCTGTTAAATTACTATAAATTATTTAGAACTTTACAACTCAAAAATTGACATATTTATAGCCAACTAAAATATAAGCTTCACATATTGACTGAACATTCTTGCCCCATAGACTTTCATTGTTAATTTCTTAAACCAAAATTATTATTTGTTATCAAAATCTGAAGCTTGAATCCAGTATTGGATAGCCCTTTAAATATCACTCTTGGTAAATCCGCACTTCTTTATTCAAAGCATCAAATAAAGCCTTTTTCACCCTGCATGCTCCAGGGAAATCCACCAGCTTCACCTCCAGTCACCCAGCACGGCCCTTTGTAGCTCTCCTCAGTAAAAGTTCCTCAGTTCTAGTAAAGTTCTTTGAGCAAGTCACTTCTAAGCACCAGATCTGCTGATTGATAGCCTTGCATGTTCGCTGATGACTCTGAATAGAAACACATTGTTCCCTGAAAGGCCAGGGGACCTAGCTTTAGCATATCTAGCGTAGCTGTGGCCGGGTCTGGAACCTGGGAAGCAAAAGCTTGGATAAACAAAGTAGAAAAGGTGAATAATGAGAGTGCTAAGCAGCAATACAGTGCGCAGAGCCACTGAAATATTTGGTCAATGAGCTTCAAATTTGGATAATTGTCAAAAAAACGGCACCAACTAGACAACGGTGGTATTCACGGCTGAGGGATGGTAGTCATGCTTCAAGCTATGAGAGTTCCTCTTCTCTGAAAGTCATGCTAAATCAAGTTGCGAATACCTCAGAGAACACACAGAGCTGTAGGTTTAGCCGTCAAAGTTGCAAAGGGCTTGAGTGAGATTTCCATTGACACGTTTCTTGAAGAATGAGGCCGCTCAGACTTGGTTATTGATTTCAGGGCTCTTGTGTTTGATGGGAAATGACTCGGACTTTAGAATATTTCCATATCTAAGGGATATCGACAGCACTTGGTT